ACAACACCCCGGAACCCACGGCCACGGCCTCGGCCTCCTGTGGGAACAGCCCCAAATCCATGGGAATGGGATAGACAACACCCCGGGAATAGGATAGACAACACCCCGGGACCCCCGGCCCCGGAACCCACGGCCACGGCCTCGGCCTCCTGCGGGAACAACCCAGATCCATGGGAATGGGAATGGGAATGGGATAGACAACACCCCGGGAATGGGATAAACAACACCCCGGAACCCATGGCCACGGCCTCGGCCTCCTGTGGGAACAGTCCCAAATCCCGTGGGAATGGGAATGGGATAGACAACACCCCGGAACCCACGGCCACGGCCACGGCCTCCTGTGGGAACAGCCCAGATCCATGGGAATGGGAATGGGAATGGGATAGACAACACCCCGGGACCCCCGGCCCCGGAACCCACGGCCTCGGCCTCGGCCTCCTGCGGGAACATCCCAAATCCATGGGAATGGAATAAACAACACCCCGGAACCCACAGCCACGGCCTCGGCCTCCTGTGGGAACAACCCAAATCCATGGGAATGGGATAAACAACACCCCGGGAATGGGATAAACAACACCCCGGGAATGGGATAAACAACACCCCGGAACCCACAGCCACGGCCTCGGTCTCCTGCGGGAACATCCCAAATCCATGGGAATGGGATAGACAACACCCCGGGACCCCCGGCCCCGGAACCCACAGCCACGGCCTCGGCCTCCTGTGGGAATAACCCAGATCCATGGGAATGGGAATGGGAATGGGATAAACAACACCCCGGAACCCACGGCCACGGCCACGGCCTCCTGTGGGAACAACCCAAATCCATGGGAATGGGAATGGGAATGGGATAGACAACACCCCGGGAATGGGATAAACAACACCCCGGGACCCCTGGCCCCGGAACCCACGGCCACGGCCTCGGCCTCCTGCGGGAACAGCCCAAATCCATGGGAATGGGAATGGGAATGGGATAGACAACACCCCGGGAATGGGATAAACAACACCCCGGAACCCACGGCCACGGCCTCGGCCTCCTGTGGGAACAACCCAGATCCATGGGAATGGGAT